CTGTAGCATTTCTAATATTATATGTGGATGACATATTGTTGATTGGAAATGATATAGAATTTCTGGATAGCATAAAAGGATACTTGAATAAGAGTTTTTCAAAGAAAGACCTCGGTGAAGCTACTTACATATTGAGCATCAAGATCTATAGAGATAGATCAAGACGCTTGATATATTTTCAATGAGTACATACCTTGACAAGATTTTGAATTAGTTCAAAATGGAACAGTCAAAGAAGGAGTTATTGCCTGTGTTACAAGGTGTGAAGTTGAGTAAAGACTCAAAACCCGACCACGGCAGAAAATAGAAAGAGAATGAAAAGTCATTCCCTATGCCTCAGTCATAGGTTCTATAAAGTATGCCATGCTGTGTACCAGACCTATTGTGTACCTCACCATAAGTTTGGCAAGAGGGTACAATAGTGATCCAGGAGTGGATCACTGGACAGCGGTCAAAAATATCCTTAGTGGAATAAGGAAATGTTTCTCGATTATGGAGGTGACAAAGAGTTCGTCGTAAAGAGTTACATCGATGCAAGCTTTGACACCATTCTGGATGACTCTAAGTCTCGATCTAGATACATATTGAAAGTGGGAGCAATTAGCTAGAGTAGCTCCGTGCAAAGCATTGTAGACATAGAAAATTTGCAAAATACATACGGCTCTGAATGGGGTAGACCCGTTGACTAAATTTCTCTCACAAGCAAAACATGATCACTCTTTGGGTGTTAATCACATAGCGATGTGAACTAGATTATCGACTCTAGTAAACCCTTTGGGTGTTAGTCACATGGAGATGTGAACTAATCACATAAAGATGTGAACTATTGATGTTAAATCACATGACTATGTGAACTAGATTATTGACTCTAGTGCAAGTGGGAGACTAAAGGAAATATGCCCTAGAGGCAATAATAAAGTTGCTATTTATATTTCCTTATATCCTGATAAATGTTTATTGTTAATGCTAGAATTGTATTAACCGGAAACTTAGTACATGTGTGAATACATAGACAAACATAGTGTCACTAGTATGCCTCTACTTGACTAGCTCGTTGAATCAAAGATGGTTAAGTTTCCTAGCCATAGACATGAGTTGTCATTTGATTAACGGGATCACATCATTAGGGAATGATATGATTGACTTGACCCATCTGTTAGCTTAGCACGATGATCATTTATTTTGTTGCTATTGCTTTCTTCATGACTTATACATGTTCCTATGAATATGAGATTATGCAACTCCCGAATACTGAAGGAACACTTTGTGTGCTACCAAACGTCACAACGTAACTAGGTGATTATAAAGGGCTCTACAGGTGTCTACGATGGTACTTGTTGAGTTGGGATAGATCAAGATTAGGATTTGTCACTCCGATTGTCGGAGAGGTATCTCTGGGCCCTCTCGGTAATGCGCATCACTATAAGCCTTACAAGCAATGTAACTAATGAGTTAGTTGCGGGATGATGCATTACGGAACGAGTAAAGAGACTTGCCGGTAACGAGATTGAACTATGTATTGAGATACCAACGATCGAATCTCGGGCAAGTAACATACCGATGACAAAGGGAACAACGTATGTTGTTATGCGGTTTGACTGATAAAGATCTTCGTAGAATATGTAGGAACCAATATGAGCATCCAGGTTCCGCTATTGGTTCTTGACCGGAGACGAGTCTCGGTCATGTCTAGATAGTTCTCGAACCCGTAGGGTCCGCATGCTTAAAGTTCGATGATGATCGGTAATATGATTTTATGTGTTTTTGATGTACCGAAGGTAGTTCAGAGTCCCGGATATGATCACGGACATGACGAGGAGTCTCGAAATGGTCGAGACATTAAGATCGATATATTGGAAGCCTATATTTGGATATCGGAATAGTTCCGGGTGAAATCGGGATTTTATTGGAGTACCGGGAGGTTACCGGAATCCCCCGGTAAATGTATGGGCCTTATTGGGCCATAGTGGAGAGAGAGAGAGAGGAGACCAGGGCAGGTTGGGCGCCCCCTCTCCCTCTGGTCTGAATTGGACTAGGAGGGGGGCAGCGCCCCCCTTTCCTTCCTCCATCTCTCCCCCTCCCTTCTCTCCTAGTCCAACTAGGAAAGGGGGGAATCCTACTCCTGGTGGGAGTAGGACTCCTCCTGGCGCGCCCTGCTAGGGCCGGCCGACCTCCCCCTTGCTCCTTTATATATGGGGGCAGGGGGGCACCTCAAGACACACAAGTTGATCTTTTAGCCATGTGCGGCGCCCCCTCCACCATAATCCACCTCGGTCATATCGTAGCGGTGCTTAGGCGAAGCCCGCGTCGGTAGCATCATCATCACCGTCATCACGCCATCGTGCTGACGGAACTCTCCCTTGAAGCTCTGCTGGATCGGAGTTCGTGGGACGTCACCGAGCTGAACATGTGCTGAACTCGGAGGTGTCGTACGTTCGGTACTTGGATCGGTCGGATCGTGAAGACGTACGACTACATCAACCGCATTCTCATAACGCTTCCGCTTATGGTCTACGAGGGTACGTGGACGACACTCTCCCCTCTCGTTGTTATGCATCACCATGATCTTGCGTGTGCATAGGATTTTTTTTGAAATTACCACGTTCCCCAACATGACGATCTTCAGGACGACGTCGATGACTTGCGAGGGAGGAAGGCGATAATGAACAATCTTGTTTTCTTCGCGTGCTCTGTTTAAAAAAAAGAGGCCTGAGGTTCTTTTTTTATTGTAGAGAAAATGCCATGGTTTTGACGATACCACAATATGAATACTACTGTTTTTTTGTGGTTGCCAAACAACTCACGGTAAAATTAAACTATGGTATTTTAGAAAACGGTGGTATTCTCACAACACTTCAAAAAAACTGAGCTGTCAAATGGGGCCCAATTGGTTCATCTTGCCATCATCTGCATATGCTTCTTGCGTTTGCATTCTCGTGCTCTACATTGTTGTTTGCTAGACAGCGATGGCGGCCACTTTATATCACGAAACGGATAACAAGTCATTTGCTTTTAGCCATTGTTGGATCATATTAAATGGCAAGCCAAAGTGGACACAACTTATGGCCGCTCTCAAGGCCGACAAGAAGAGGAATGACGGCTCAAGCTTCCACCAATCAATTGGGTTGGACAATATCGTCGCCGAGAGCCACCGTACCAAAGGATAATCGGCAAGTCATGGGAAACATGTGGGAGAAGGCAAGGGCTTCCCGTGACGACATGGCTACAAAAATGTCCGCCACATGGACATGCATTTCTTCGGTGATGGAGAACAAGAAAGAGTAGAGGTACAAACTCATGTTGGATGCGCAAAAAGGAGAGGATGGATTGAGATCGAAAAAGGGTGGATAAGAAACTGAAAATTGAGAGGGAGAAGACCGAATTGGAGAAGGAAGAGGCGGCGATCAAATGAGAGCTCGAGAAGGCCAAGACATTAGAGAGATTGAGCTTGAGAGGACAGGTTGCAACTCGCAGAGGATGCATAGGATGCGAAGATCATGTTAGCAGACGAAACCCTCTTGGATGAACATGCAAAGAAGTGGGTTGCAGAGAAGAAGAAGGAGATCAATGACCGTAGGGAGTACGAGGCGGCGAGGGCGGCCACGGTAGCAGCGAAGCATGCAACAAGGATGTAGGCGGAGCATGACGCAAGGATGTCCTCGGAGCAGGCCGCATGGATGGCGTCCGACGAGTGATTCGGCCAGCCAGTGAGGCATTCGTCAGGCTCGAGCATTGATTTCTTTTTGGCATTTCCAAATTGTTGTTGAACTATGATTTGCTTTCTTTTGTTTTGATATGTTGAATTCGAACAATTCGTATCATACGATCGACGTATATGAATTGTATGGATCAAAGCTTCGCATTTAAGGTGTTTGGATGTGTGGCAGCCCATATAAAAAGGCCGCCTAGCACTGTCTGCAGACCCGCCCGAACGCACCGCCACGGGTGTAAGGGGGCCGGATTTGCCTGCCCTAGATGCTTTTAGGAGACAAAGGAAATGGCGTATTCAACAGCGAAAGCCGCACATATGTTACACGTGCCATTCATAAATTATATAAAAGCTGCAAATATGCAGTATACGATCGGATCATAGTGCATGTGCTAGATTTTGTCCGTGGACACGTCCAGGCATGTCCACGTCGGGTGTAAAGGGGCCCGAATTTGCTGGGCGTAGATGCTCTTAGGAGACACACAGAAAATGGCGTATTCAATAGTGAGAGCCCGCGCACATGTTACACGTGCCATCCATAAAACATATGAAAGCTGCAGATATGTAGTATATGAGTAGATCACAGTGGATTTGTGCCAGATTCTGGAGACCTGTGTTGTATGCTAATCATGTTTCATTGTTCCCCGTAGTCTCTACTTAGTGAGCTCGAGGGCCCAGCTGATTTTGACCGGCAACCGTAGGTAAACGGCGCAGGCGAGAAAACACGCACGACAACGGCCTCGGCCGATCGGCAACGAGCAGCATTTTTTTTTTTTGAGTAATGATCAGCAAGGAGCAGCAACCACGTCCTTCCTCGGCCACCACCACCGTCGCCACGGCGTGAGCCAAATAACTGCCTCCGAGCCAACCACGCGGCCCGGCCATCCAATCGCGGGGCAGGAAAGGGTCCGGGGACCACGCCCGAAAAAGCGCGGCCCCACAGCAACACGCCCCCCACTTCGCGGGGCTCCCTCCCCCTGGAGCGCACCCACCACTCCGCCCCCCGATCGTTGGGGTTTTTACCCCGGATGCCCCGGCCTAATTACCGCCACCGCACCGTCCTTTTGCATTTCGAGTCGGCTCGTCTCTCTCTCTCTGTGTGTGTTGTGTCTGTCTCTCTCCCTCTCCCTCCACCTCGCTCGCTGTACTCTCCCCACGCGCTCGTGGTCGTACACCAACTCGACCTACCCGCGCGGATTGGGCCGCGGCGACGGGGTGGAGAGGCTTTGCCCGCGAGGTTCAGCTAGGGTTAGGGTTTTTGCCCTGGATTCGCGCGAGGCCCTGCTGACCCATGGACGCGGGGCAGATACTCTCCCCCGGCGAGGCAGAGTGGCCCCCCGAGCTTCGCCTCCCGCCGCCGCCTCCCATGCCGGACCCCGCTCCCCCTCCGCGGCCCAGCCAGCCGCCTCCAGCGCCACCAGCGGGGTCGGCACACCCTCACCGTCTCACTGCGTGGCTGCAGGCTCCTGCCTCGAACAAGGAGCCTTCCCCGCCTCGTCACACGGAGGGGTTTGATGATTCGCACTTCCTCGGCTCGATCATGGAGGCCGCGGCCCCGGTCCAGCAGCAGCAGCAGCAGCAGGAGGAGGAGGAACCTGCCGTGGCTGAGGCACCGGTGAAGAGGAAGAGAGGCAGGCCGCGGAAGAACAGGGACGGAGCGGTTGCTGCGCCTGCGCCGCCCAAGCCAGTGAAGAAGAATGACGAGGAGGAGGTGGTGTGCTTTATCTGCTTCGACGGGGGCAGCCTCGTGGTTTGCGACCGCAGGTGCGCGCGCGAATACTAGCTTTATTATTTATTATCTTCCTCTGTATCCTGTGTGCACCAGTGCGGGTTGGACTCGTTGCCTCGACAAGGCTGAAAACCCTGTTCTGTGGCTGCAGGGGTTGCTCCAAGGTGTACCATCCTGCCTGCATCAAGCGTGACGAGTCGTTTTTCCGCTCCCGTGGCAAGTGGAATTGTGGTATGTCTTGGTCATTCTAGTATTTGCATGGAGTATAATCACAATATCAATGCTGCAGTGTGTTGGATATTCATATAGTATTTGGCATATTAATACTTCTGATAATGGCAGACAAAAGCTCTATTGAAAGAAATTGGTAACATTTGAAAGAACCTGATTTACCTAAGAGCAGCGTTGATCTTCTTCCATACCCCTTCAGTAAAGTAATTTGGATATGTAGTCTTGCCTTCCCGAACCTCCAGCATGAATGCCCGATCACATTCATTATAGACGTAGAGTTTGTAAGATGCTTTTTTCCGCAATATAGCTTATGCCCAGTTAGTGTTGAACCATTTCCACTTTTTTTACTACACATTTGTCTTCATGATCAGTTGTCTGTTGATGTGTACATGCCCTGTTATAAGGCTGTTTATATAGTGAAGTCGAAACAGATTTACGTGTTGAGTTTATGTAGGAGAACTGGATATGCTCGGTTGGCATTACACCATATGGGGCAAGAAGCACCACGACGATAAATAGCTGCTTTTTAGTTATCATATACGATTACATTGTAGTATGTGGCTATGTGCATGCGCCAACCCTTTAACTTCAGAAACGATAGTTCAATCTGACCTGTCCTGTATCTTGATGCCACACATGCCAGGTTGGCACATTTGCAGCAGCTGTGAAAAGGCAGCACAGTACATGTGCTATACTTGTACTTACTCCCTCTGCAAGGCATGCGTCAAACAGGGCAAATTCTTTGGTGTTAGAGGGAACAAGGGCTTCTGTGACACTTGCTATGCCACTATATTGTTGATAGAGTCCAAAGACCAAGATGCTACAAAGGTATTGTACTGTTGGCCCTTAAATTGTATACCACGTTCCATTTTTCTGAAGCACAGAAGCATCTGTATGCAAACACTAAAACATGTGCATCTCTATGGAACCAGAGTGTTCATACATCCTTCTCTCATTCCTTGGACAAACCACCACTACATTTTAGTCAGCTCAGCAGCACAGTAAATGTATAATTATGAAAATACCATCCATCATGAGGGTGACACGTGTGACTCAGGTCATCGTCACACTGACATTTTCCTAACTATGCATCTTCGACAGTGCTGAGCTATTAAATGAATATATCGCCATTGGCCCAAAACTTTAATCAAAGTAAAGTTGGGCACACATACATCCTAATTTTTCCAGTTGAGTCCCTAAACACCGCCATTCAGTTAGGCTATTTCAATCAGAAAAATAATGTGGCACTAAAAAGTCGAGTTAACACTGCAAGTCATGAGTCAGCAAGTGCATAGATTGTGACCTCGGTTTCTGTAAGGAAAATGCTCCTCCATTCCAGCGAATACCGCACACACGTATTCCAAAATTGAACTTGGACTATCAATTTAAACAACTAAATGTGGGGTATGTGTGACAAAAGTTATTATACTAATGAATTCATATTCGGAAGAACTTTTCAATGGTATAATTTTTAAGTTGCATAACTTATGTTTGTTGGTTAAATTGACGGTCAAAGTTTAATTTTGAAATGCGTGCATGCTTTATTCACTGGAATGGAGGTAGTAATAAGTTTTGAATGCCAATTCATGGAATATGGGAACATTTCCCTAGTCCCCATGTTATTTTCTTAGTAATTTCTTTCATTATATATATATTTTTGTATTAGGTCTCCTGATTACGTTGCATGCTTTATTGCGTGATCTAAATCCTAGCCTTTCTACCGAGGTTGTAATATTGTTATATGAGCTGCAGGCCTGTAGCTATGGATTTCTGTGCATGCTAAGTTGGTAGCTTTTGCTGAGTCAATTTATCCACTGTATTGCCTTTAAGTTTAGCCACATGTGTCTTTGCCTGTGTTGAAATTGCATTATAAAATTATGCTACTAGCTTGAATCAGATATGCAACCACGGAACTCTGATGTCACCTTCAAAAGGCACAATACATAATGATCGTGTGGCCTAATTTCCATTCTGATGCATTTGAATAAACTAGATACTAAGTATAAGTACTGATACGATCATACCTAAATTGCTGAATCGGCACACCATCGTCATATGATGGCTAAATTTGGTTGTGCTCATTCATTATCCGTTTTAGTATGCAACTTTGCTCGCACTGTTTGCTGATATCTGAACATATGGTGATTCTCCTTTTTTTAGCTTAGATGACTGAGATTTACTGCACCTAACTTTAATGCCCTTAAGAAGTTCCATGCGGGTATATGCTTGATAATTGTTCACTTTCTTGGGGCCTTGTTGGTACTGCATTTGGCCATCATCTAGTCTTTTGCAGTGCGGAAATCTTCTGTTTTGGCAGAGGCCTACCTGCAACATGCAATACTATTAAAGTTGAAATCTGCTTTGTTTGGGACGAAGATTGTATAGATAGATGCTAGGAACAAGCAATACTTCCATTCTAGGTTTGATTTGCATAAATCATGAAATGGTCTATTCTTGTTTCCTTTTTGATTGATTATGTGCCTGTGATGTGTCATATGGACTTGTTATCATATTTTTTCTCGATGCCAGGTGATGGTTGATTTTGATGATAAAAATAGTTGGGAATATCTCTTCAAGTTATATTGGCTGGATGTAAAAGGGAAGCATTTATTAACATTGGAAGAACTAATCAGTGCCAAAAGCAATTGGACTGTTCGAAGCATTTCTGCTAGGAGAGAAAAAGAGGAGTCATCTGGTGAGCGATATGAAGCAAACAATGACCACAATGTCAGTTCTGACAGCTCTTCGAGGAAACGAAGTCGGGGTACTTCTTTAAGGAAAAGGGGCCGGAAGCGGCAAAATCATAGTCTTAATACTGCAAGGAACTGTGAAATTTCAATTAAAGGTTCTGAAAGCTTACCCAAGGGAGCACCATTTGAAGGCATGGATTTGTCGGGTGACACGAAATGGGCCTCACCGGAGCTGCTGGGATTCATTGGGCACATGAGAAATGGTGATGTGTCTCAAATTTCCCAATTTGATGTTCAGGTTCTGTTGCTTGAGTATATAAAGCAAAATAATCTTCGTGACCCTCGCAAAAAAAGTCAAATTATTTGTGATGCAAGGCTTAGTAGTCTGTTTAGGAAACCACGTGTTGGTCATTTCGAGATGTTAAAACTTTTGGAGATTCATCTTCATGTGAAAGAGACTCCAGCATTAAATGGTGATACCCAATTAGCCCGTGAGCCAGATTCAGCACAAGTAGATAGTGGAGGACATAGTGAGATGGGAACTAAGTTAAGCTCTGATAAGAGGAGGAAGACTCATAAGAAGCTTGAAAGAGATCTACCAGCTAATCTAGAGGATTATGCAGCCATTGACATGCATAATATCAATTTAATATACTTGCGCCGCAGCTTGATGGAGGATATCATTGATGATGTTGCTGCATTCTCTGAGAAAATTACTGGTGCTTTTGTGAGGATAAGAATTCCGGGTTCTGGCCAAAAGCAAGATATGTATCGCCTAGTCAAAGTTCTTGGTAAGATTTTTACTCCTGTCTGATTTACCGATATTAGCTACTCAATTGTAATTTAACTAAAATGATTTTGTATGCAGGTACACATAAAGTTGCAGAACGATATAGTGTTGGTAAGAAGACAACAGACTGTGCACTTGAGATATCAAACTTAGATAAGAAGGAAGTGATCACAATGGATACGATCTCAAATCAGGATTTCACGCAGGTAATGCATGCAAGGACACATGTTGCTTATACATTTATTTGTTTGATACCTATAATATCGGGTGAGCCTTCACTGACCGGAAATGCTGTTAGGTGTTGGCATGTTTTTGTTGGCTAACGAACTTAGTATACACTTTCAAGTGAAACATACATTTGATTGTAAAAATACATTATGAATGACTATAATTGGCAACTATTTTCACATTTTAGATCATCAATGCACAATTTTAATGTTTAGTTAAGGCGTTGAGCTACAAAATCGTTGTTTCAATTTTTAAGAAACATGCTTTGTTGTTGTGCTAGAATCACGAGAAACAACTATTCATAATGGATCTTACTAGTTACTATAGTCTATAGTAAATGACACACGACCATCAAAGGTTGATGCTGCGTCTCAATACTGCCTTCTCGAATTTGTTAGTGATTATGTCTAATTTTGACACTGGATTTGGACATCTTTTATTTGATCATGTGTATTGTGCAATAAGGGGCTATTGTCGATCATTTACAGACTCATTTGTCTCTTTTTCGCAAGCTTTTAACATCTTTAGTGTCTTATGTCTTATCTGCTTTCCAAGAATCAATCTAGTATTTGAATTTGATTGTTGGGTTTGGATCTTGTTGCAACAATATTCTTGTTTATAGACCTTATGATTCAGTATCACCACTGTATATGCTGGCCAATCTCTATCTCCCCCTTTTTTTCACTAGCTCTTAGATGTAATTTTCCGACTGCTGAATGTGGGGGTAGTGTTAGATGAGTGTCTCTTACGTTTTGTTGTATCTAACTGGCTTGTTTGCTTGTATAATGTAGGATGAATGCAAACGCTTACGCCAGAGCATGAAGTATGGTCTAATTCCTCGACTTAAAGTGGTACTGCTTATCAAGATCCAATTTATGATGATCCGTCTGATACCTAAGTTACCAAATTGTGTATGTCTGAATTATTTTCTTCATCTTGTTAATTCAGGGAGACATATATGAGATAGCCAAAAGCTTCCAATCTCTGCAAATTAATGATGTAAGTACTACACTAACAAATAAAAGCTGGCGATGTGATGAGGTTGCTTATTTGGTAATAACCGATAGGTTCTCTAGCTTGACCTAACAGCACTTATTGTGTGTTAAATCCTTTTCAGTGGTTGGTAAATGAAAAGCAGAGGCTGAGCCATCTCCGTGACCGTGCTAGCGAAACTGGACGCCGAAAAGAATATCCTTCTAACTTACCATGTTGAGCTATTGTTATATTTTTTATCTTAGCGTTGGTGTTCGTGTTTCTGTGGGTCGTATAGTGTGAAGATCTTGTTTTAGTCCTTGATTGTTTAGTCATGGCTTGGCATGCATATGCTCACCATAGCTGAACCTTTAAAGCTATCAAATAAACTACCATTGTGCACATATTTGTTGGCCTGAGGACACATTTATTCTGGCAAACTTTAACTCATAACATTTGTGACCAAGGACGGTGCTATTGTAGGGTTTAGAATTTGTAATTTTTTTTGAGAGTTTCTCATAACCTCTCTGGAGAACGAAGATACTACATGGGATTGCTAGGTACCGGGTTTAGCTCACAACCTCTTTGGCGGTTATTTTTCGTTTATGTTGTTTTGTCTTCAATTGGAGTTTCTTATCTCCGAACTTTGTTTCTCGCACTTACCGAATAGTATCGGCCTTATTGAGGGTTATCTTTATGAAGAGAACACAATATTTTGTGACCCTCATTTAATGGAGATAAACAACTTTTGTATTGTTCTCATCCTTCCTTTATTTTGTGTTACATAAAATGATATGGTGGAAACCATCTTTCATCTTCAAACCCGAGCTATCATTCAGTGTTCTAAAGATGTTGCATGTGCATCTATCCTGTCATATAATCCCAATTAATTTATGTTTGGCTTTCTTTTTGCATAAGATAGGTAATCATGTGTGCTCTTCATTTAAGTGTTGTTATTGGTGCTACCTTCATTTGATGATCCTTAACTATGTCATACACTAAGAGAGTGCGTAGAGAAGTTACAACTTCTGAACACTCCTGAAGAAATAGCACGCAAGATTAATGAAGTTCCAGAAGTACATGTTGACCCCCATATGGCTCCTACTTATGAATCTGCTGAAGAATGGAATGATGAAACAACTGGTACTTCACCTGTTGACTGTTAATCATATTCTACAATTTATGTTCCACTAGTAAATATTAATTTTCTGAGAACTTATTGACTTTTATGCAGTTGATTTGACCATAAATAGGAATGGACCAGATCTTCTGTTTCCTGGAAAAGAAGGGACAGAATCAAACGCTGTGCAGTACCTGTCACAAAAATGTCCCGATGCTAGTTGTCACTCTAGTTTAAATCTTCCTACGGAGGGCGTAACACATATACCAGGAGCAGGAAGTATCACTAATTTGCAGGCAGCAAATGGGTTGAATATTCCTCGGCCTCGCATTGATTTAAATAATACAGCGGGTGATGCTGCATCAGTTCCGTCATCTGGGGTTGTATCAAGTGACACGGAGCCAGAAAAAGTATGGCACTACAAGGACCCTTCTGGAAATGTTCAGGGCCCGTTTACTCTTTCACAGCTATCCAAGTGGACTACTTATTTCCCAAGTGGCATGAAGATATGGCTCACATTTGAGAGTGAAGAGAACTCATTGTTGCTGACTGAAGTGCTCTCAACACAGAAGAAAGATATCATTCAACCTACGCCAGTTATTAACAATAATAAATCTGCATGGGCAGGCTCTGGGCAAGATAGAATTAACCCAAGTATGACTGGAAACATTACTTCCCCTATTGGCTATAATGTTGTCTACTCTTCTGGGTTACCCAGCCAGTCTTCTGACCATCCTCCTCTGAGAAGAGAAAGTCCAAACTTTATGGGTGAAGCTTTGCCATCAACAACATGCTGGGAGCCACTGGCTTCTAGTGTCCAGATTCAGCATCAGGCAAACTATGCAAGCACCATTCCATCTTTTGCTGGTTCATATAGATCAACAGGACCTCATGGTGATGGGGTCCCCCGAGAAAAGATTGGGGAACACAACAATCGCCAAGAAACCGGTGGTTTGTGTAGTCCAACCCCAGCACCAAAGATTCACAACAGCCAGAGTAACATGAAGCCTGAGAGCTGTTCAAGGTCAAATCTTGTTGATGGAAGAGAATCCAATTCAGCCTTGGGCATTCCTAGTCAGTCAAGAGCTCCTGCCTGCGGTGCACAATCAACTTCATTTACATGCACTTCTAGTTCAAGCAAGACCAAGGAGATCATGAATCTGCAGAAACCATGCCCCCCTGATGCATCAAATGCTTCAGTTAATCAACTTTTTGAGCCTAAAATTGATTCAGTGTTATCCCCTGGCACTCAAGATCAATATCCCAGTCCAAATCCAAAATTTGAGAGGAAGCAGCCTGTGATGAACAAGTCAGGGTCAACATCAGTAGCACCTGAAGATTCAGCTACAAAGGCATATGACCACTCTTCAATAGCTTTCGTGTCAGAAACATCTGGTCCGCCTTCAAGTAAATTTGTTGGCTTGCAATTACTTAAGGAAACACAAACATCATGTGTAGAAGAAAGAGATCTAAAAGATGGAGGCTGTGTCACTCAAACAGCACCACTAAAAGGAGATGCCACATCAGCTAAGAGAGATAACATAACTGTTAGTTCTGTCTCTGATGCTGGAGTTTGTGATGTGCTGGGATCTTTGACAGAACCAAACTGTGGAACTTATAATGTGCATGCTGGAATGCCTTTGGAAAATGTCACCCCAGCTTCAGCTGAGGAAGAAAGGCCGCAGTGCTCTAGCCCTATTGCGCTATCTCCTTGGGGTGAACCTAGTTACTATCAAGGCGGAGCTGTTGATTCTGCTCTGTGGGGTGTTCAAGATGACCCAAGCAATGACATGTGGTCATTGTCTTCACCAACACCTGCTCTCCAACCCTCCTCAGGTAATGAAATGATAGTCTTTTCCTGTTTTTGTTGTTAACTTGACAGAGAATCTTACACCATCTTCTACAGATCTTGGAGCTGATGGAAAAGATACTTCATGCATTATAGAGGAGGCAGTAGTAGCCCGAGGAAGTAGCGCTGTTGGTGAAATATCACCAACACCAGAGGAAAAGATGGAAAAAGGCAACCCAAGCGCTTCCACAGATTGTGGAGTGCCAGAGCAGGTAATCCTTATTTGTAAGATCTAGGGCTTGAGGTCCAAGCGTGATGTGTCTTTCAAAAAGAGAAATCCTAGCAACATGATCCTCTAAATATCTGAGGATTGACGTCCAACTAAACATGTTACTTCTGACTTGATTAGGTAAAACTAAAACCAAGTGCTGCATTGTTGAACTCATCTCTCAAGAGCACAGAAGCTTCAGGCGGGCAACCATTAGGCTCATCTTTGGAGGGGAGCACAAAAGCTTCAGGTCGGCAACCGGTAGGCTCATTCCTGGACGGGAACACAAAAGTTTCAGGCAGGCAAGCATCAGGCCAATTTCTTGAGGGGAGCACAAAGGCTTCAGTATGGCAATCAGGTTCATGTCTAGAGACAAGCACTAAAGGTTCAGGCTGGGGTTCATCTGTAGATGGAAGCACAAAAGGTTCAGGCTGGGGTTCATCTGTAGATGGAAGCACAAAAGGTTCAGGGCGGGGTTTATCTCTAGAGGTAAACGCAAAAGGTTCAGGTTGGGGTTCATCTCTAGAGGGAGGCACAAAAGGTTCAGGTTGGGGTTCATCTCTCGAGGGAGGCACAAAAGGTTCAGGTTGGGGTTCATCTCTAGAGGGAAGCACACAAGCCTCAGGCTGGTTACGATCAAGTTCATCTCCGGAGGGGAGAAAAACTCCAGGTCGGCATTCGTCAGCCCGTGAGAGTTCAAAGGTGAATTTCAAGAGTGGCAGCCAAAACCGTAACTCGTCTTCAGGTCACCAAACAACACCAACAGCTAAAAGCTCTTCAGAAGCACAAAGGAGACAGGGAAGCACCAATTCAAATTCTGCTGGCTGGGGAGAGGCACCAGGGAGCAACAAGAGCTGGCATCCATCTTCTGGCAGTGCTAGTCGAGGCAGCCAGTCGAATCAACACCATGATAGGCACTGTCATGGCAACGAATCACGGCGGGGTAGCTATCAGGGCAATGATTCACGGCGTGGTAGCTCGAACCACTCTAGGAGGTCGTCTGATCATCGTCAAGATCATGGCAGCGGTATGTCGTCAAGATCATCGTCAAGAGGGCAGTCTCAACGAGGAATATGCAAATATTATGAGAATGGCCACTGCTGGAAGGGGCCATCTTGCTCTTTTGTACACCGTTGACCATCGTGGTAGGAAACACATTGTGAAGGTACCACGCCTTACCCCACATTTTTGTATAGCCTGACAAGCCACTTTGTAGTCAGCTTAGAACAGAGCTCTTGGCGCCACTCAGATGCTAGTACATATATCCATACGATTGGATAGCATTTTACGCTTAAAAGACCACTGACGATGAGTATGAATGCAGATTCTCTGCTTCTGGAGCCTGATTTATTCCACTCTGTTCAGTTCAATGGAGTTGACTTCAGTTTTCCCATGACCAGGAAAAAAATGTTTATGTGCGGATATGGATTCTAATCCTGGGCTCATATGCACCCTTGTGAATAGTAAAAGAAAAATCTGGTTTTTTTGCCAACAATCATCATGCGTATCATATTTTACCTTTTTAGATGAACGGAAAAACTATCGCCTACACGTGTGGGCGTTTGCAGATCGTCCACACGCCTCCATCGCCACTCATTTTGCCACGTATGAATAGATGACATCAGTAGAAATCTTTTTGGTTTTTGGCTTAAAAATGTTTTATCTCTTAAATAAAAAAGCAAATTAAAAATCCGTTTTTACCATTAAATCTGTCTCGACGAGATCTTCAAAACTAGACATCATGTTGATATGTTTCGATGAATTCTTTCCCCAGAAGTTGCCATGATGTTTACACTGAAGTTGCCATGATATGTTTCAACTATTTTCTTTTACATCTAAAAGTAAATTCATGTGCAATAGACATGACAACTTTTAACCAAAAAAAATTTCACCGAAATATATCGATATGAGATCTAGTTTTGAAGATCTCGTCGCGAGAGATTTAATGGTGAGAACGGATCTTCAATCGGATTTTTCATTTAAGAGATAAACATTTAAAAAATTAAAAATTCAAAAAGATTCTTGCATGCATGCGATGACGTGACAATCTATTTGTATTAGAGACGTGTGGTGCGTCTCCTTTCCTGTCACACGTGTGGCAGTTATCGACGTCCAATATTAAACTTAATAAAAACTGCTTAATTATTCGACAACTCCTACGCTCGCGATCATTAGCCTTGCTGAATAACTTAGAGTGAGTATCGCCTACCCGAAGCCACTGCAGCCTGCATCGATGTCTGGTGCGAAACCTGTGAATCGCAGCCAGGCCGAGAAGCTTGTGTCTTAGAGCATCTCCAGCCATTGGCCCCCTAGGCGGCTATTTTATGCGCGCCCTGGAGGCGAGCCGGCGCTAAAATCGGCGCGGGGGCGAGCGGGTCCGCTCGCCCTATGGTCGCCCCCAGACGCGGGTTTTTTATTTTGAAAAAATGAATTCGGCAAAGTTTGGTAAATTGCACAAAATGTTCGGCTAAATTCGGCAAACTTGACATAATATTTGACATGTTTGACGTTATTACATAAGTTATTAAAAAAAGAGCGACTACGGGGCGAAGAAGTCGCTGAGCGCGGCGAAGTCGCCGCCGTCCTCCTCGTTGTTGTCGGCGTCGGCCTTCTCCTTCTTGATGGCACGGCCGCCCCTGTTGGATCCCTGCCCGGCGTCTCCATGGCGGACCGGTTGCGGCGACGCGTCGTCATCGCTGTCGTCGAGGACGACGATGCCTCCCTCGTTCCGGCCACGGCACCGAGCTTCGAAGCGCTCGTAGGCGAGGCGCTGGCGCTCCAGCTCTAGCTGCGCCCACTCATCGCACACCCATTTGAGGGCCGCCGCGTCGTCGAGCTGCTCCTCCTTGACGCCGCCGGCGAGCCCCGGCTTCGTCTTTGGCTTGACGTAGTGTGGAGGAGCCGAGGAGGGGGCGCGCCTGCCGCCCTCGTTGATGACGATGCCGGCGCTGCGGGTGGGCCGACCGAGCGGCGTCTCCGCGGCGGGCTCGACCTTGACGTTGAACAGCGCCGGCGAGCCGGAAGAGTGGGAGGAGGAGCGGGAGGACGACTGAGATGAGGAAGACGAGGAGCCGAACCTCCTAGGCACCCATGGCCTGGTGCTCCCGCGTGGGGGCGGGACAACCGCCGCAGCAGGGTATATGCTAGCGGCGGGTCATTGCCGCCCTCGAGGTACGCCAGCATCTCGTGGAGTGTGCGGCTCGGGACGCCCCACCAGACGCGGCACCCGTCGCTGTTCGTGACGCCGCCCACCACCGGCGCCCTGTTCGTGGACGCCAACCGCTGCGCCTGCCAGCGCTGGAAGTACTCCGCCCACGCTGCGTGGTTGTCGGCGGCGTACTGAGGGACGGCGCGCCGCTCCTCCGTCAGGGACGAACGCACGCGGTCGACCTCGGTGGCGAAGATGCCGGAACGCGCCTCGACGTCGGGCATAGGGGGGATGGGGACGCCCCCGTTGCTGAGCCTCCATCCCGTCGGCCCGACGCGCATGTCCGGCGACGCCGGGATGTTGGCCTCGAACAGGAGGTACGTCTCCCACTCCTGGAGCGAGCGGCGACCGAAGCTGTTGACCGTCGCGGCGTCGCCGAGGAAGCATTCGGCCATCGAGGGGGAAAGGGAAGGGGAGGGAAGGGGAGAGCGGCAGAGCTCGGCGGCGGGGGAGGGAGGCAGAGCTCATCGGCTCGGGCTGGTGTGGCCAGCGGTGAGGGGGAGCCTCTGGTTTTATAGCCCCGCGCCGTGTGTACGCGTGGCGGAAGGGGAGGCATCGCCGCGCCCGTCCCTCATGACGCGCCGTCCATGAGGAATCAATGGCAAGGCTGATTGGCGGCAGCCTTGCCATTGATTTCCCGTGGGAAACCAATGCGTTCTGGGAAAGACGAGGCGCGTGCCGCTGACTCGGCGGGCCCGCGGCTTTTTCGCGCCAAAATCAACGAAAAATAGGCTTCTGGGGCCGCCGACGCTTATTACGGCCTAAGCCAACGAAAAACGGGCTTCCGGGAACGCGACTGAGCTGATTTTTGGGTGCCGATGCAAAAAAAATGTTCAAGAAGGGTTTGTTGAGAACGCGTCTGGAGATACTCTTAGATGCACACGCAGCCCGATCTCGGCGATGTTGAGGTCCCGGTTGTCCTGTGCATGATCAAGTCCCAAGATGATCTGATCGGCAATGTAACTGAGCAGATTAATGCTGCCCACATGAGAGCGAAGAGCGTGGGCGAGCTTGTACAGCTTGTGGTGGAGAATCTACATAGCATTTCCATGCGTCACAGTAGCGGACCAAGAATTGGCGACGATGCCCTGAAACCCACGAAGCTTGAGCCAATAGTCTTTAAGTCAGAATTCCCTGTACTGACGATGGAGTTGCCCTTAAATGTTCTATTAAGTCCCTCCTTAAGGACAAGAGGGGGATAGATCTCTAAAGTTCTCAACCGAATCGAACAAGGAGATCGCTGCATTGGCATAAATTTTTTCCTCCAGCGCAAATAAAGACCTGACCCATGGTTTGAGATGTTTTCTCAGGATCTTCAATTTAGCATCAATCCTCTTGGCAACATCTGTATAATGTATGGACTGGAGGCATAGAGGGACAAATAGTTCTCATGCTCAACCCACCAATCTTCAAACCCGAAAATGTTGCTCCTAACCACTGTTGTTTGGACATGAATAACACAAGGGATGCGATCAGATCTTGAGTTCAACAGTTTAATCCGTCATAAAATGACATATCTTCTGAACTCACCGTGTTACTCGCATGTGTATTTCGCTAGTCAAACAGTTCTATGGAACCAGGCGTCAAGCCTGGTAAGCTATCTAAAAAAAAAGTTCTATGGAAATGCTGAGACTTATGGATAAAACAGACTACAAGTACCCCCGATCGTTTTTCCATTCCCTTACAACAAAAGTTTCCTTTATTAGCTACAGCCTTTGGTGACTACATTCATCACAGATAACACCGTTCCTGAGTAGCACAAGTTCATCGCGGTTATTTCGATCTGGGCGTGCTGGACCTGGGCGTGGAGGGGGAGAACACCGGGTAGTAAGTATTCAGCTCCAGCTGCTCCAGGATCTGCTGCATGAGTCCCAGGTAGGAGGAGTGCCCCACGACGAGCTCGCTAACATCAACCTGCGTGAGTCGAGGAGCAACCTAGTCAAGAAAAGTACTCTCTTGTAGTGATCTAAAAAGTCTTATAACTTTTTTTACATTTTCAACTCCGGGGACTTGGATTGCTTGGATGCCAGCCAAACCTTGCGTGAGCAGACTGCACGAGAGGCTAGTTTGTCAGAGCACTCAGAGGGCTGCGTGCATCACTCGATGCAGAGGCCGAGGTTTCCCCCCCTCTCTTTTCGACGGAAAACGAAGAGCATTCAGGGTTACGAGTTACCTCGCCCGGAAAGTGACGCCGAGGATCCAATCCTTGGTGGAGTACACGTTCACAAGCCTTCCAGCAACCATCTGCACATGCGTACATATGGGTTCAGCTGTGTAGGATTTCACATACAAACTTCCCAGTTGATGCAGAGCCTGATAGTATGACTCTCTTCAATTCATACCAATAAGAATAATTCTGGTGGTTTCTTGGGAGAAGAAGGTCAGAATAGCTACTGCCCTTACCTTCCTGGCAGGCCCCCACAACTCGTCATTAACTGAAATCGGTGCACCTATCAGCACAGCCCTCTCGACGATTCCCTCTGTTCATGTTCAATTTGTCAGCTGAATAAACAACTGACTCCATATTGGTAGACATTTAGCGCGCGGGGCTCGTTTCGAATAAGAAGCTTTCGCAAAATGTTCATGTAAACCAGAAAAGTTCCTCAGCTCCAAGCGGTCCATATTGGCTAACATTTACAGTTATGTACTTAATTATGCTCCTGCATGGTCTAGAAAAAAAACACAGGATACGCACCGTTATTGCCCGAAAGAGCTAATTCCTGCAAACATTTGAACACGACACGCGCACCGAGTGAAAAACCTATGAGAGTGACAGGCCTGGAAATGATTGTGACATGGGGGGAGACAATTAGCTCCATGCAGACACAAGGGTTTACTGAATCATTTAGATTGCAGGTATGATTCAGGTATGGGTACCTGCTTCCTTGCAGTCCATTGAGCAACACTTCAGCAAGCATTATCCCAACCT